CCCCACCGTGGGCCCCGGGCCTGGGTGAGCAGCCGGCGCGCCCGGGGGCCGGCTCCGGGGGCGGGGCTGGGGCGGGGCGTCTCACCTGCCCTCGCTTTATCCCGAAGTAGCGGGCCACCGGGTCCCCGGCCTGGATCCTGGGCAGCTGGTTCTCTCGGAGTTTACTGAGCAGCTCAGTCGGGGAAAAACCCAGGCTCCACTGGCTGGGGTGGGAGCGGGGGCGTGCGGGGGGGGAGGGGAGGGGAGGGGCCCAGGGCAGAGCCCAAAAGGATACTACCGGGCCAGGAGCTCGGTCACCTCCTCCTTGGCCATCACGACGTGCTCTGGGACCAGCTGCCGAGAGGAGAAGCTGAGTCTCCGGGGGTGGCGAGAGACCCCACTGCGCCCCCACACAGAAAAGGGGGGCAGGGCGGGCCGCAGGCTGTTTCCTTGGTGTGAACCACCCTCCCAAGGCGCTCAGGGACGTCAGAGGCCCTGGCTGCAATCCCACCCTGCTCCTGACCCCACACGTGGATGGGGGGGCTAGAGCCTGCAGCTCACGCAGACGGGCCGTGGGGCACAATCTGGGGACCCCTGGGGCAGCAGACTCCACCGGCCCGGCCCCCAGCGTCCTGAGTCGTGGCAGGTTCGCAGGTGATGCTGCTGCTTCCCACCCAGGGCCACACTTGAAGACCCCCGCTCTACTTCCTTCGGCAGATCTTCACCCCCAAACAGGGAGCGCTGCTGCCCGGACACACCCCCACCTGCCTCCTATGATCTGGCGGGGGCCACATCTCTGCCGTCCCACAGCAGCCCCCGTGCTCAGGCCCCTACCTCATGCTCCGTGATGTTGATGAGTAGCTCCTGCTGCAGAAACTGCTCCAGGATGTACTTGGGGGCCATGTCTACCAGAGACTGGAAGAGAGGCCGACCCTCATGCACAGCCAAGGGCCAACACGACGCCACCCCATTTCTTCCCCAGAGGCTGACGGTGGGCTGGCGGCCAAAGGGGGCTTACTTCCGCACTTCAGTAAGGTGCCACGCGTCATAAATCAGGAAATCCCACCGCTGGTCAGCGAGACTTCTCGAGGAGGAGAAGAGCCCGCCCCCCCGACACGTTTCCAAGGCCTCAGCCTGGTGTCACAAACAGTGACATCTGACAAAACGCTCCCACGGTTGTCCCTGTGCTGGTGGGACTGCGAGAACTCCGCACAGGGACAAGACCACTCGCCCGCTCACCACCCCAAACACCAGCCTCCACTCCCACCTGTCCAGCCCACGCTCAGGGATGCGGGCACCCACACGGGCCACCTCACCGCTCTGGCTTCTCTCAGCAGGCATCGGCTGCCACAGCACTGGGCCTGCTTTGGGAGGCCTACATGGGAGAGCCGCTCCTTCTCGGATGCCAAGCTCCCGAGGCCCCATCAGGACATGGGGCCGACACCCCCAGGGGCCGGCAGGCAGCATGCCAACCCTGGGTGAAGACTGTAAGCAGGGCCCGGGGAGGGGGAACGTGAGTCGCACGGGCTCCCACCTGGGGGAGGGGGGACCACATGCACGCCCACCTGCTTGGCGGAGGGGGTCATGCCCTGTTGCACCACGATGAGGGCCCGGGTGATGTTCTCCTCCTGCATCCGCTGGCAATACACCTTGATGGTCTTGATTCCCACTTTAGGCTCCTCTGGGGACAGAACACATGGTGGTCTACACTGCAAGGGCCGCTCTTCCCTGGGGGGCCCTGCATCCTAGCTCTACCTCACCAAGGCGTCCCAGCGCCACTCGGGAACAGGCTCTTCTCTCTGGGGCCTCAGTTTCCCCACGAGCCCAATGGGAACCAGGGTGCTGGTTCTCCTCCACATCTGCTGGGGAGCTGAAAGGTACCCTGCATCTCCCCACCTAATGGATCCTCTCTGGAACTAGGATCTGTGAATCTGTTTGGTCTGGTGCCTCAACGGTTCCAAGGTCTGCAAACCCCCAGATGAAGCAGTTCGCTTGGTCTAGGTGCCGCCAAGGTGGCTGCATGTTCGGAAGGGATGTGAAGTCAGCTGACCTGAGGGACCACGGTCCCATCCCTGCACGGCCAGACCCAATGGACCCTGAGCCTAGCAGAAGGTCAGCAACTGGCTGCCAGCTCCAGGACGTGTGCGGGGTTCCCAGCCAGGCCTTCGTGTGCGTGCAGCACATCTCCTCAGACCCTCACTCGCCTGACGGGCAGTGTCAGGGGCTGAGTTGTCCCCCCAAATCCTTGTGTTAGAGTCTTAACCCCTGGTACCTCGAATATGACTGTACTTGGGAACAAAGCCTTTAAAGAGACAGTTAAATCTGAACAAGGTCGTCAGAGTAGCCCTTCATCAGACAAGACTGGTGGCCTTCTAAGATGCAAGAACAGAGACACAGAGGGACGATCCCGTGAGGACACAGAGACGGCCGTCTACGCGCCAGGGACAGAGGCCTCAGGAGGACCCAGCCCTGCTGACACCCTGGTCTCAGACGTCATGCCTCCGGCACCGGGAGGGGATCAGCGTGACGTCAGGGCCGCCGGCCCGTGGGGCTCTGCTATAGTCCCGGTGGGCTGACACGGCAGGAGGCTCAGTCCTGTTCTGGGGCCCGTTTGAGAACACGACGCACCCCTGTCCAACTCGAGGGAGGGCCCTGCCACCAGGCAGATTCTGAGGAAGCTGAGACAGCTCCACGGGGAGGCACGTGATTAGGCACCAAGGCTTCCAATAAATTCGCCTGACACATGCTAGGTCCATCCTGCAAATGTTTTCTACCCCCTTGATTCTAGGCAGAGGGCTGGGCCCCCTGAGTGCTCACTGCACCCAAGGCCTCCGAGCCTTTATGGGCTTTACAATCAGGCCGCCTCAGTGCAGCAGGGGCCAAGACGGAGGGACACAGGGGTCCTGGGACAGCCCGTGGTGGGCTCTTTGCTTGACCTGGAGCTTAAAGGGGTTCCTTGAAGAGGAGGCACCTGAACTCGGGTCTCCGAGGACGACAGATGGACACTGAGCAGGCAGAGCGAGGAGGAAAGGGTGTGGTGAGGGGGTGGACCGGGCCCAGGACAGGGTGAGAACCCTACAGCAGCACAGGAAGGAGCTTCGGGGAATGAGAAGCACGGAGTGGAAGATGTGCTGACGGGTGGGGTCAGAGAGCACACAGATGAGTCTGACATCAGGAGGGGGCTGGGGGCCCACCGGGGAGGCCTGTGATAATCCTGCTGGACAGAGAAAACGGTCAAGGAAGACAGAGCGGAGAACTGGACAAAGTGCTCAGAGAAGTTCAGAGGTCAAGGACATCATCCCCAGTGGGGAGGAGGAGCTCCCTTCCCACAAAAGGGTCGGTGTAGACACGGAGTCACTCAGCAGGAAGCTGCTAGGAGCTGACCCGAGTAGACCCTTGGATGGCTCTACTAGAACTGTGACCCCTAGGAGAGACACAGCCACCCAGGACCAGGAGGGCCCTCACCTGGGAAGAAGACGAACATCTGGTCAGTGGGGTCGTCATTGTGGGCTACCAGCACCGTGAGGTCTGTGCGCCGTGGCCGCCCCTCACTCGGCTTGTCTCCAAACTGGGCCTTGAACTCTTCCAGTGTCTGGTCCAGCTCATCCTGGGTCACCAGGTAGCCACGGTCATGGCACAGCTGCAGAGAAAACCAGCCAAGTGAGCTCAGGGCAGAGGCGGGGTGGCTGGAAGAGCCCGGGCCGGACGAGGCCTCTGCAGAGAATGACACGGGCTTTGGGGGCCTGGTGCGACAGGTGCCATGTACAGCTCAGAGAGGAAGGGGAAAGTGGGGACAAAGACCAGGACACACCCCAAGAGAGCGCCTGCACAGAGCCAGCTGCCACACAGCTGGTCATCTTATCCTGAGCCTCGGGGACGGGCTGTGATTGGGAAGCAGGGGCAGAGCTATGGCCAGGGGTCTGGGGCACATGGACGCAGAGGGTGGGAGGGGCGCTGCAGGGCAGACTCTGGTTGGGAAAGGGGACAAAGGCTCAGGGCCAGTCCTCAGAAGTCAGGGCTCTTTGAGCGCGCGGCGTGAAGAGGACCCAGACGGAGAAAGGGAAGGTCAGAGCTGCCGCTCAGCCCCGCGCCCACCGCCCCCTTCCCCCAGGAGAGCCCTGGCCTGATTCTCTCGGCGCAGAGCCCCCGGGGGCCCCCGGGCTGCCAGCCGCTTTTGGTGCCCCTTTTAGAGTAGCTTTGCCAAGGGGACGCTGCAGGCGGCTGCCTGGGTTTAGTCCCGGGGCGGCTAAACCGCGGGCACGCACGGATGCTCGGCCAGCTTGCTGCTGCTATCAGTCGTCCTGATCAGCCCGAGAAACTCGAAGCTGGCGGCCGAGACCGAGAAGCAGCCGCCGGACGGAAACACCCTTGGACGGCAGGTCAGGCCGGCGGACCCGCAGGGCTCCTCCCACGCCCCCGGCTCTGGGGCTCCGCGTCAGGCCCCCCGGGAGCACGCCCGAGTGGAGGAACGCGGGGTCGGGCGCAGCCCCGCGGGGTCCCCTCCCCGACCCCTCCGCTCCCGCCGCCCTCCCGAGCCGCCGCGTGCCCGGCTCGCCCGGCGCAGCGAGGCCCGCCCTCCCCGCGTTAGCCGCGCAGGCGCACCTGCATGATAGTCTTGCGGATCTTCCACAGCCGGTACGTCTCCTCCTCGTCGTCCATGGCCGCCGCCGCTCGCCCTCAACGCGCCTGAGCCCGCGGAAGAACCCGCGCTGACTGCGCCTGCGCCGAGCCGCGGCCAAGCCCCCGCACCGCGCCGTGCAGGGCTGTCGACAGCGAACGCCTGACTCCAGAGGCCTTCGGGAGGGGCAGCGCCGAGGGCAGCCCGGGCCTTCCGAGGGCGCCGGTGGGCGGTGCGAGAGCCGAGCAAACGGAACGGCCCACTCTCGCCTCGGCAGTTCTCGCGTGGCCTTGGCCGCGGGGCCTCTCGGGAGTTGTGGTTTCGGCTCAGCGCCCGTCTGGGTAGGGAGTCTAGAATCGGGGGAGGCAGAAGCGAGGTGCGGGCGGGGAAGCTGAGGCTCGGACGGGGTCTGCGGTCTGCTCGCCTGCCTCCCAGAGACGGCCGGGCAACGTAGCAGGTCCTCCATAAATATGCATCCATCTGCTGTGGGCCGCGTCCAACTTAATGCCCATGAGCTTCAGTTTTCCCTTCTGTATAATGGAAATAAAGTGTCCCCGTTTCAGAGAGTTAGCTGAGAATCTAAAGGGACGGAGCTTGGCACAGCCCCTGGGCTTAGGAAGTGCTCCCCGCTCTGTCTGCCCCCTGTCCTATCCCCTGAGACCCAGCAGGCCTCTGCCTGCATATCCACAGCCCCAGCCCCCGACTGCGCATCCGCCCTTCTCCCGGCTCAGTGCTCGCCCCATTGGAGGCCACCAGGAACTTCTCTTTCAGCGATACGTTCCCAGAGACGGTGAGCAAAACAGGCCAAGGCCCTCTTACATCCCAGGGAGACCAAATAGAAACCTCGACCACCAGAAGAGCATTAGAAGGTGACAGTGCAATGGAATACAGGAGCTAAGCCAGATGGGAGATTTTCAGTTTCCAGCGGGGAGGTCAGGGAAGGTAAGGAGCAAGAGAGAGTCCGGCAAAAGGCCGAAGGAGAGGGAGGAAGCTGTGTGAATGTCTGAAGAAAGGTGTTTCGGTCAGAGGGTGCAGTGTGCAAAGGCTCTGAGGCTTCACTTGCCTGGTGTGTTGGCAGCAAGGAGGCCTGTGGGGGGAGGCGGAGGAGAGGAGGTTAGAGGGTGTAGTGGGGGTGACCCTGGGAGGCCTTGTTGGTTGGGTTGAAGAGCTTGGGTTTTCTTTTTCAGCCACTGTCAGCGTTTCAGCAGAGAGACCAGGGAGGGGACAGGGAAGGGCCACCTGGCCACAGATGGGGGCTCCAACTGGGGTAGGGGTGAGCCGTGGGCAGGCTCCTGGTGTTCTGAAGGTGAACCCCACAGGATCTGCAGATGGACAGGATTCGGAGAAGAGACAGAGAGGGAGGAGGAAGAGAGCTGCCGGGACCAGGACGGACAGACCAGGGAGAGACAGGTGTAGGCGGCAGATAAGGGGCTCCGAGGGCAGAGGGTGCGGTGGGGCGGGGTGGGGGTGGGGAAGCCTGGCTGGTTAGGCTTCTGACTTGATCTCAGCTAGAGTCATGGTCTCAGGGTCATGGGATTGAGCCCCGAGTTGGGCTCCTGGCTCAGTGGGGAGTCGGCTTGGGATTCTCTCTCCCTCTCCCTCTGCACCTCCCCCACTCGTTCATGTACTCTCTCTCTCTAATAAGTAATTGAAAAAAAATAAAAGAATGGGGCTCCAGGAACACCTGGCTGGCTCAGCTGATGGAGCATGAGTTCCAACCCCACACTGGCATAGATTAAAAATAAATTAAAATTAAAATTGAAAGAAAGAGGGCGCCTGGGTGGCTCAGATGGTTAAGCGTCTGCCTTCGGCTCAGGTCATGATCCCAGAGTCCTGGGATCGAGTCCCGCATCGGGCTCCCTGCTCCTTGGGAGCCTGCTTCTCCCTCTGCCTCTCTCTCTCTCATGAATAAATAAATAAAATCTTAAAAAATAAATAAATAAAAAAATAAAAATAAATTAAAATTAAAATTGAAAGAAAGAGGGCGCCTGGGTGGCTCAGATGGTTAAGCGTCTGCCTTTTTGGCTCAGGTCATGATCCCAGGGGCCTGGGATGGAGCCCTGCATCCGGTTCCCTGCTCAGTGGGGAGCCTGCTTCTTCCTCTCCCGCTGCCATCCCCTCCACTTGTGCTCTCTGGCTGTAACTCTCTGTCAAATAAGTAAAAAAAAAAAAATTGAAAGAAAGAGAGAAAGAAGGAGGTTCCTGTTGACCCAAGGAGGAATGTCAAGGAGACAATGGGGTATGAGTCTGGAATCCCGGGCAAGGTCCAAGTGGAGACAGGCATGTGGGAGTCATTGGAGACTGGAGCCTGGATGAGGTCACCAAACAGATCCGACACATTGCCAACATTCAGAGGCCAAGAGGAGGGGAGGGCACAGACCCTGAAGCAGCGGCCAATCCTGGCTCCGTGAACCGAGGCACATTACTCAACCCTTTTCTGCCTAAATGCCTCCCTTCCCCCTGCCTTGTGGGACAGGAACGAGAACAACACCCACTTCACAGGGGACCTGGCTACTGATTGCCAGCAGTGTTACATGAACCCTCCCGAAGTGGAATAAAGAGGTTGCCAGGTGCCCTCCAACGCGGTGAAGAAGGTGTCTGGAGGAGGGAAAGCAATCAACAAGGCCACCAAACAGCGAGCCTGAGCACACCTGAAGATTAGGCGGGGGGTTAGCCAAGCAGACATTATTGGTGACCCTGACGAGGGCAGATGATGAGGGGGCCTGGCCAGGGTGGGATTTATGGGAGTAAGGGAGTTGGCAGATGTGGACGTAGATGCCAAGGGGAGAGGGGGCCAAAGGCAGACAGGGAGAGAGCTAGGAGCGGATTTTAAGATGGGAGAAATGGTATCTGTCTAGGTTGCTGGAGTGATGGGCAAATCTGAGTAAAGGGATTAGGCAGGATTGTTGGAACCTGGGGCCGGGGGCGGCTGGGCCCAAGGAGGGCTGGCCTCGATGGTCCCCGGGGCGGGCCCAGGTATGGGTGGCAGGTGGAGACAGCAACAGGACTGTGGACGTTAGGGAGAGGGAGGAGAAAGGGCTCATGGGAGCAGGTGGGCCTCGGGACCCCAGAGAAGCTGGCAAGCCCTGAGCACAGTTCCCATGAGTCAGACCAATGTGGCCATGCCACCCTGTCGTTCCAAGGAGGCAGAAGTAGAGGGGGACTAGGTGCTTTTTGAGAAATGAGGCTGCCCAGCAGAGACAATGGGGGCTCCCCTCCAAGAGGTGCCGCTGACAAGCGGGCCCCTGGTAGCCAGGCTGAAGGTAGGAAGCCCTGAGACGGTTGTGCAAGACAAGGACTGGGGAAGCGGCCCCTGGAATGGATTTCCCCATTCCGCTGCCTTTACCACCAAACTTGGCCAGCACTTGGGCAGGCCTGGTGGGAGGCCGACAAGGGGGGGGGGGTCTCACTGGCTCCCCCAAGTGAGCCAAGCCCAGAGAGTCCTGCCCCCGTAGCCTCTGCAGCCATGCTCCCCGGAGGGTCGGAGAGGGGGCAAGAGGCTGATGGCAGCACAGGTCAAAGTCCAGTCATGGCTGGGCGTGGGGGCAGCCGGGCCCGCTGAGTAATTCCTTGACTCAGGTCCCAAGAGTGGGCGGGTCTGTTTTCTGTACCCTGGCCAAATGCCAGAACCTGGAGTGCAAAAAACAACTCATAAGCCCAGAGGTCAAGCACTGCGGCCCCGTGTGCAGACGGCCGTGCACCGTGGGGCGCGCAGACGACTCTCTCCGGGGTGTGCCGCGCCTGCCCGGCACACACCTGCGCGTCCTCGTGGCCGCCGGGGCCCGCTAACGGTCACCTGGTTAGTGCCCCCCCGCTCACGTGCCCATTCTAACGGCGGGCGCTCGCCGCTGGGTGGCCTCGGGCCTTCTCTGGGCCCACGGGCCGGGTGAGACGCCCTCGCAGCGACACCGCAGTCGCGAGTGAGCCGGAGTCCGACCCCGTGTGACTTTATTAACTTTTAAAAGAAAACCTCCAGTGTTCAAAGAACTGGGGCGGTTTTCCTGCGAGTTCGAGCCCCCCACCACGGGTTTCCAGTAATATCTCAAGTTGTCAGGCATCCCGCGGTGCTGAGGTCAACCACCCGGATAACTGTCCTAAACCTATCAACGCGCGCCGCCTGCGTGGACCCGGCAGTCCGCCCGCCGGCGAGCATGCGCAGTCGCCCACGGCAGCGAAGCCGCAGCCTGGCCCCGCCCCCGCCCCCGCCCGCCCCTCGCCCCGGCCTCCCATTGGCTGGCGTCACCATGGATCCGCCCCACCCGCGAGTCCGACCAATGAGGGCGCCGGTGGGCGTGGTCTAGGGCGGTGAGGAGAGGCCCGCCGGCGCGCGTCCATTGGTCGGCTCGGCGAGGGGAGGAGCCGCTGCCTCCGCCGCCCCCGCCGCCGTGATGAACCTCAGCCGCCTGTGCCGCTTGCTGAAGCCGGCGCTGCTGTGCGGGGCCTTGGCAGCGCCCGGTCTGGCCAGCACCATGGTGAGCGCGGCGCCGGCGGCGGGCCGACGGGCCGTTGGGCGGGCGCGCGGGGCCGCGGTGGGCTCGGCGGGGGCCGTTCGGGAGCAGGGCTTGGGCGGCCGGAACCCCCGTTGGGCGCCTGCGGACCGCGCGAGGCCGGCGGCGTCGAGGCCGCGGGGGGCTGGGCGCCCTCGGTCGCTGGCGTCCCCGGCCGGGCCCGGCGAGCGGAGGGCGCCCGGTGGGCTGGAAACCCCGGGTCACGCACCGCGGGGCGTCCCCGCCCCTCCCCCGCCCAGCGCGGCCCTGGGGCCCTGCTTGGTGGCGTCACAGACGGGCGGCCGGGCGCCCTGGTTACTGGCCTTTTTTGTCCCCCGGGCGCGGCCCTCGGTGGGCACAGGCGCGGCCGGAGGCGGTCGGGCATGGGCCGCGCGGCCGCCGGCTCCCCCGGTCGCCGCGGGCAGCGGCGCCGGTTGCGGGGCAGGCGGCGGCGGCGCCGAGTCCCCCGGCGGCGGAAGGCGGGGACTTGCGGGCGCAAGAGAGCGCTCCCTCGGCGGGAGGAGCCCTGTCTCGAGAGGCCAGGGCAGGCGGAGCTTGCGACCTGGGATAGTGGCTGTAGCGCCGAGTGCCCAGACCCGGTGCGCGCGGGGCCCCCAGCCACGTCGCCGGGGCACCTGGCGCGGTCCCAAGCCCTCTCTGGGCCTCAGTGTCTTCTCTCAAATGTGCACTGTTGCGCAAAGGGGTGCGCCCTTGAGGAGGAGGAGTCCTCAGTTTTTCCTTGCCCCGGGGAGTTGGTTTTCTCGGCGCGGATCCGCCTGGGAGCCCTTCCTCCGGGGACCCCGGGCCGGGCGAGTGGGTCAGGTGGCAGTGGGCTCCGGGCTCGGCGCCCCGAAGTCCCCACGCCGCTCATGCGCCCTTGCCTTGCAGTGCGCGTCCCGAGACGACTGGCGCTGTGCTCAGTCTATGCACGAGTTCTCCGCCAAGGACATCGATGGACGCATGGTTAACCTGGACAAGTACCGGTGGGTACCTAAGTGCCCGGTGGGAGAGGCAGGGGAAAGGTCGGTGGCGCTGACCTGGCCTGACTGGCCCATCTCACCTCCAGGGGCTTCGTGTGCATCGTCACCAACGTGGCCTCGCAGTGAGGCAAAACAGACGTAAACTATACTCAGCTTGTCGACCTGCACGCCCGATACGCTGAGGGTGGTTTACGGATCCTGGCCTTCCCTTGCAACCAGTTCGGGAGGCAGGTGCGTGGCTGGCTGTGTCCCCGGGTGTCCCGGTGTGGGGAGAGGGGACCAACGGGAGCGCAGGCTCCTCCTCACTCACCCCCACACCCCTGCTTGCCACAGGAGCCAGGGAGCAATGCGGAGATCAAAGAGTTCGCTGCTGGCTATAATGTCAAATTCGATATGTACAGCAAGATCTGTGTGAATGGGGACGATGCTCACCCGCTGTGGAAGTGGATGAAAGTCCAGCCCAAGGGGAGGGGCATCCTGGGAAAGTGAGTGGGAGGATGGGGGAGGGGAGGGGAGAGGGAAGGGCAGTTTCCCCGACTGGGGCTGGGGGTGGGGGTGTGTGTGGGAGGATCGCCTTTGCCACCGATTCCTCATGACTTCACATTGCTTTTGTAGTGCCATCAAATGGAATTTCACCAAGGTAAGAGGAGACTGGGAGTTGGGGGGGACAGGAGGGGGGACAGGCCAGGACTGTGTTCAGGGCTGGCTCCGGCCCCGGGAGCCCCTGTCTACTCAGCCATAGCTCAGTGCCCGGCTCCAAAGTGCTCCAGCCCTGGGCCCAAATGGGGCAGCAGGTGGGGGGCTGCTTGCTTGCCCCCAGCCCCCCTGGAACTTCTACCCCCCCCCCCGACTGCTGGCTTCCCCCATTTTGACGTGGCCTCTCTCGGCAGTTCCTCATTGACAAGAACGGCTGTGTGGTGAAGCGGTATGGTCCCATGGAAGAGCCCCTGGTAGGTGTCTTTCCACTGAGCCTTCTGGGGGTGGGGGCCAAGGGGAGAGGCCACCCCTGACCCCCCTTTTTCCCCACAGGTAATAGAGAAGGACTTGCCCTGCTACCTCTAGCTCCACAAGTATGCGCCCCCCCCCCCCCGGCCCCTGCCCCCTCGGAGCCTTCTACCCGGCACCCATGACGGTCTGCCTGAAAACCAGCCCGCTGGTGGGGCAGACCCGAGAACTCGGCGTGCACCCCCCGCTGGAGGAAGGTTCCTCGGCCCGGCTCGAGGCTTCCCCCCCCCCCCCACACACCGGTTATCTTGTGGGAATAAAACATACAAATTGACCTGCTGCGTGCTCCTGCCTCCCTGGGGTGGGGTTGGGGGGCAGGTGGGGGAGCCTTTTGTCCCGGGCCCCTTTTGGTTCAGGGGCAGGTCCTGGTGACTCCCCAGGCTTTCCCGAGTTCTGAGCGCTCTGGGCTCCTAGGGCTGTGTCTGTCCTGAGGCCCCACTGCTAATCTTAGCAGCCCCACCCATTGAGCGCAGGCAGAGCTGATCCTGGAGGAGGTAATAAGATTTACTGGCTGTTACTCCTGGCCCAGGGTGTTAACCTGCGGGGAGACAGCTGTTCAGGGCCTGCTTGGGGCTAGTCTTCCCCAGTGCCTAGAGGGGAAGGTCGGGGGCCTGGGCCTTGTGGCTCTGCGCACTGGGGGAGCCAGGCACCTGGGCCTGAGCATCAGGCCAAGCTGGTCTGGGCACAGAGCCGTGCCGGGCACACTGGCCTCATTGTTGGGACACTGAGTCAGGGCACTCAGGCCCGCCCACGGGGCCTCATCTGGCAGAGGCAGGGAGTGTTGTCTACAGCCCCGTCGCCCCAGGAGGGGTGGGGAATGGCCTGAGGCCAGGAGGGTCCTTCGGATAGACCCCTGTCCCTGTTCTGGAGGGCCTGGGAGGCTGTGGGCCTCCTGGCGAGGGGGTGGGGGAATGGCATGGCTGGAGACTGACTGAGCCTGCCCTGCCTACGCACCCACCCCCCAATGTCCAGTATCTCCAGTAAAGGTCAGTAGCACAGGGGCGGGGCTGGAAAATTGGAATAACCAGGTTGAGAGCAACCCCAGCCACCCTAAGCTGCTTCCCCTGGGGTCTCCTGGCTCCTTACTTGTCCACATTCTGGCAGGTGACCCTTCTAACTTCAGGGCCAGACCCAAGTATGCTCCCTGTGGCTTCCAGGAAGGGTCCAGCTCCTGGGCCCTCCTGCGCCTGGGCTACCCCACCTGCCTGAGGCAACCTTGGGAAAAAAACCAAAACGGGGACCACAGCTGGGCACACCAGCGATGGGAGGAACTGGTCTCAGCGCACCACCAGGAGCGTCCCAGGGTGGGGTTTGTGTCTCTAGCAGGCAGGAGGCGACCAGCGTCCGGTCCAAGCCACCGTAGCCTGGCACGGCTAGTCCGGAAGCAGCCAGCCTACCACGCTGGTGACAGGATGACAGCAGACAGTGGCCCCTGGGGGACCTGCCTCCTCCAGCCTGGCCCTCGTCCTTAACACAGGCCTTGGCCTCCCATGGGTCTGGGAGAGGAGTGGGCTGGTCTCACCCACCCTGGCTGCCCTCCGCAGGCGACAGCCACCTCATCCGCCCCTGACTGGGGTCACTGCGGGCATCGGCTAAATGCTCCTGGAGGAGGCGTGCCGCGGCCCCCCTCCCCTCCCCTCCCCGCTGTCTCTGCAGGCTGGAAAAGCAGACAATCTGGGAAGTAGTGAAAAGGCACATATATTTAAAAAAGATCTCTTTACATATGTACACTTGAATTCATTATAAATACACATAGAAACCAGGGGGCCCGTCCACACCGCCAGCTCCACGGCAGATTCTGGGGCCTGGGAGAGGTGGCCGGGCAATAATTTAGGGAGCAAACAGAGTGGGAAAGAATTGCATATATTAATGGTGGGAGGGGTCTGTCCCATGGAGCCCCCCAGAGAAGGCAGGGCCCTGAGCACCTGGGGTTTCCTGAGTTTCCAGCTCTTGGGGCCACCCAGTTTTGTGGATTTCAGGGGTTCCGGTCAGACCAGGCCCTGTAAGGTGGGTGGGGTGAGGTGGGTTGGGGAGCCCCTGCCTAGGCCTGGGGGGGGCAGGAGAGGACAGAGGCACAGGGAGGGTGGGCCCCCCACCCCCAGGCCCTGCCCAAGCCTAGACCCCGAGTCATCCTGAGTGGGACCTGCACTGCCTCGGAGAGCCCGGAAGGGCGGGCAGCATCTTGAGGGGTCTGCCCAGCCGCCGGCAGGGAAGGCACTGCAGAGGAGGCCTCCGGAACTGGAGGAGGGGCACCGCAGCCCCCCTCCCTGGTAGTCAGCGGGGGAGCCTGGCCCCGCTACCACGCACGTGGGTAGGAGAGTCCCTGTGGACGTGGTGCGTATTGCAGATAACTAAGCTTCCTCTTGGACACCGGCTGCCGGTCGCTTGCCGGGCCTAGGAGTTTGGAAAGGGGGGGCCGAACTGGATGACGCTCTGCCGCTCGGGGCCCCCGCCCCCACCGGGCGCCCCTGCTGCCCCTGCGCCCGGCCCAGGGGGAACGGTGGGCGGCCCGGCGTTGAGGGAGCGCAGCATGTCCTCCAACACCTCCTTGAAGTTGATGTCGCGGCCCTGATGCGCCAGGGCCGCGGGGTCCGCTGCAGTGTCCGGGGCGCCCAGCGGCAGGCCACTCGGGGCAGGCGCGGGGTCCGGGGGCGGGGGCGGGAAGGCAAAGGGCGAGGGCGGCGGGAAGGCCTGGGCCGGCGGGCTGTAAGTGAGGTCCAGGACCTCGCCGGGGCCGCAGGGCAGCGCGAGCTGGCGCAGGGCGGGCAGGGGCGCGGGGAAGCCCCGGCACCGCGCGTTCTTGCGCTTGACGTCCGCATCCATGAGCTGCAGCTCCTGCAGCACACGGCGCACGCAGCCCTCGGGGATCTTGATGCCTGGGGGCCGGGACGGACGGTCAGGGGCCCCCTGGCGGTGCCCACCGCCCCCACCCCCGCCGGCGTGCCCGCGCGCTCACCGACTTGCTTCTTCTTGTCCTTGGTCTTGAGGCGCACGATCTGCAGGTAGCTGCTGCTGGTGACGTCGGCCATGACGGCGGCGATGCGGCCCCACACGCGCAGCAGGGCCCCGCACAGCATGTAGTGGTGGCGCAGCCGTAGGCCCTGCGCGCAGTCCTTGCCCTCCTGCACCAGCCGGCAGTGGCGGTTCCTGCGCCGCGCGCGGGGAGGCCAGGCTCAGACCGGAAACGCCGCCGCGCCCCGCCGCGCTCCTCGCGGGAGTCCCGGACACGCCCCCTCCTGCCCCCCCCCCTCCCCGCGCACAGCTGCTCTGTAGGGAGGGCACCCCGCCCGGTCCCACCCTGGCCCTCACCACGCAGTGTGGCTGCAGTGCGTCAGCGACAAGGCGTAGCTGTTTTCCCAGTGCTCCCTGGCCTCCTCCGCCGTCACCTGGGGACACGCAGCCACGTGACCACCTGCCCCCCCCC